CCTTGTTATTTGTTTTTGTTAAATTTCAGTAATGCAAATTAAGAAATACTTACAAACACTATTATATGTGAGATACAGCGCTTGTTACTATATACATGAGGACAAGCAAAGAAGATGTGGATTCTTTTCTTATGAAACTCAAAAGTGGTTGAAAGCCTAAAAATAATTAGTTACACAAAACTTTCTCAATGTCTAGCTAAGAAAAGAGCCAATTATTATGACTATAGCACAGCATGCGATGCTGTCTACACATATTCTTTAAGTCTCCCAACATTCTGGCATAAACAGTTATTATGCTCTTATAGAAAAATGCTGCAATCACATAAAGAGGGAAACCTCTTCTTATATTTTTAACTTGTTGAACCCACGTTACTCAGCTACTGAGCAACTTAATTCTTCCTTGGAAAATATTATCATAGAACTATTTGGTGCTGTGTGGTAATGCCCTGGACTCCAAAGTCAGTTTGAGCCACAAGGTTGGTGGTTCAAGCTCACCAGCTGCTCCTTAGAAACTATAAACAGGGTTGCTATGGGTTGGAACTGACTCAGTAGCACTTAACAACAACAACATTGGGTTTCTGAGGTTTAAAATCTTCACTGGATCAGAAAGCCTCATCTTTCTCCCAAGTAGCAACTGGCAGGTTCAAACTGCAGACCTGTGCTTCACAGTTAGTTCAGTACTTACTGTTAACATAGAACAATGTTGTTATTGTTAAGTATCTTTGAGTCATTTCTGACTCATAGTAACCCTGTATAGCAGGAGCAGAAGGTGAGTTTGAACTGCTGACCTTAGGGTTCAAATCAACTTTGTGGTCCAGAGTTTATGCTACAGTGTCATACCAGAACTATGGTGGTGGTGGTTATGTGTTGTGCAGTTGGTTCCAACTCATAGCTACCCTGCAAAGGGTTTCTGAGGCTGTAAATCTTTTTGGGGAACAGAATTCCTCATCATTTTTTCCCATGGAACAGTTGGTAGTTTCGAACTGTTGCCCTTGAGGTTAGCAGCCCAACTCATCTATGCCACTAGAGCTCCTTATACCAGAACTACAGGTGTCTGAAAATTTTACTGTTGTAAAACTGACTTTATTTTTTTGCAATAAAAGTTTCAACTTTACTTTTATGATTTCATTTTGTTTTAATGCTTTATTGTGAATTATGTGGTAGTTTACATGGAAGGACATTAGCTTCACATTGATCCCGTCGTATATTGTTTCCTTGCCACGGTTACAATCCCCTCCATGCATCATCCACCAACCAAAGGGTATACCTTGCAATCCTGCCCCCTGGTCCTCTTCACACAGCCCCTCTTCCTCTCCTGGGTCTAAAGTCCACAGCCGATCCATCTCCCCACATCATCATCTCTGCCTCCATCCCTGGCATCACTGCTTCTCTGAGTAGGGTTCCTTCTCCGCCCTTCTCCTTTGATGGTCTCAGGGACTTCCGCTCCTAGACTGCAAAGTAAATCACTCCCCTCCCTTGGCCACAAAATGTCTCTTATTTACATTTCCAGCCCTTACAATCAGTCCTGATAACAATTATTCGCTATTGTATCACAAGAGACCTATCCACATCTCCTTTCATCAACCCTGCCTAGACAGATTGGATACTACTCAGTGGAGATTCTACCTTGCTCCACACCCTCTGAATCTAGGTTCCCCCTTGAAAGCTTGTAAGCCAGTCACTTCTTGCCTCTGTAGCCCCCCCATTCTGGGTAGCCAATTTCCAAGTAGCCCATCTCTGTCCTCTCCGTGTGCAGAGGGGGTGGAAATGATCCTCACTGTGATGATTTGTTTCCTCTTTTGAGCTACTGCTTCCATTGGTGTATGTCAAGTTCATCAAACTGTGTCAGATTATTCTTTTTTTCCTTGCTCTTTCTTCTTCTGTTTGAGCTTTGATCATCCAGCTGTTGAAGCCCGGTCAAGTGGGTATTATCTGCAAGTGTGGGTGTACTTATGTATGTGCCCTCTCTTCATATCAGCTGGATGCTTCACTCTCCACTCTAGTCCTCTGTGATTATGTCGCTGACTCTGGATCCAAGAGTCCCCTGGACTTGGCACAGTGCTGGCCAACCAGGTCTCCATCCGGGTTCAGAGGAGTCTATTGAGCATTGTAGGGCTTACCTCACAGCTTCGTTGCGGTTTTTCCCTTACTTCCACTTATCGGTGACTAACGTGGGCACCAATCAGAGAGTGCATTCCCATTGAGCCTTAGTCTTAGAAGGGGGTTTGCCCTGAGGGGGACCCGACCACTTACCTTGATGTCTCCTAAGTGAGCAACTGGCTTGTTCTTGTAGTAATCAGTCAAAAAACCTATATTGTTTTGCATTTTTCCTGTCAGTCTTTATTTCAGGAAGTATCTTCTGTTCTTCTGGCCACTTCAGGCTGGTCTGCTTGTACTTTCAACTGGACATTTCCCCTCAAAAGATTCTGGATGCTGTTCAGGATTCCACCTATGGTCTTGTGTAATGCAGAGGCTCTGCAGGAAAACTCCTTCATTGGGCACGTTGTAGCCCCATTTTAGGTATTCTAATCAGTTATAGGCAGAAGATGGACTTACAAGCTTTCTATGGTGGTATTTCTGGCTATTCCTTTCTCTCCCCCTCCAGTGTCTATTTTATAGTGGTATACCAGGGAAACCAAGATTCAAAAGACAGCCAAGCATCTTAATATTTTCCCTACTTTTCCCCATTCAAACCATGTCTCAATCTCTGTATCCCAGAGCCCTGTTTTTCCAAGGTTGTGCATACATCATTTTTTGCCTCTGTCCCACTTCAGCTTCACATTCATCCTACAATATTTCATTTCATTGCAATGATTACAATCCCCTCCATGCATCATCAAATAACCGAACAGGCCCACCCCACAGGCCCACCGCCCCCACTCCCTGGCTGTCAGCAAACAGCTTCTATCCCTCCCTGAGTCCTGTGTCCCTAGCGACTCCATCTGTCCACACCATCATCTCTGTCTCCATGCCTGGCCTCACTGCCTCTCTGGTTACCGGGGACCTACCCTCCTGGGCTGCAAAATCAACCAATCTCATCCTTTTGCCAAAACAAAAACAAAAACAAAAAAAACAACAGAAAAAAATTTTTTTTTAAATCTGCCTCTGCATTTCCAACCCTCACAGTCAGTACTGGTGGCATTCTGGCCTCCAAGGAGCACTCTGGCTGCACTTCTTCCAACACAGATCTGTTTGTTCTTTTGGCAGTCCAGGGTACTTTCAATATTCTCCTCCAACACCATAACTCAATTGCATCAATTCTTCTATGGTCTTTCTTATTCACTGTCTAGTTTTCACATGCAAATGAAGTTATTGAAAATACCATGGCTTGGATCAGATGCACCTTAGTCCTCAAGTTGACATCTTTGCTCTTCAACACTTTTAAAAGATCTTTAAAATATCAAATCTAATTTGATTTTCTGCTTCTATTAGAAGTGTTGATGGTTGATCCAAGAAGAATGAAGTCCTTGACAACTTCAATCTTTTCTCTGTTGATAAGAATGTTGTTTATTGGTCCAATGGTGAAGATTTTTGCATTCTTTACATTGAGATGCAATCCATACCAAAGTCTTTGATGTTCATCAGTAAGTGTTTTAAGTCTTCTTCACTTTCAGCAAGCAAGCTTGTATAATCTGCATATCACAGATTGTTAACGAGTCTTCCTCCAATCCTGATGCCATGTTTTTCTTGCTCAGCATACAGGTTGAATAAATATGGTGAAAGAATACAACCCTGTTGTACACCTTTCTTATTTTTAAACCATTCAGTGTTCCCATGTTCTGTTCAAACAACCGAGTCTTGGTCCATGTACAGATTCCTCATGAGCACAATCAAGTGTTCCAGAATACTTATACTTCACAATGTTGTCCATAGCTTGTCATGATCCACACAATAAATTTGAATAATAATCATATTAACTGTTATTCCTTGAAGGCATATAGATGTTTTCCTATCACTGATAAATGTGATGATGTTCCTTTTCTATTTGTAACTTCCAGTATAGTAGACCATGTGATTGTCTATTTCAAAATGGCCAATACTAGTCCATTTCAACACACTAATAACTAAGCTCACTAATGACTAAGATACCAATCTTCAAGCTTTCCCTTTTATTCTTGACAGCTTCTAATTTTCTTTGGTTCATTCTTCTTACATTCCATGTTCTGATTAGTAATGAATGTTTGCAGCTATTTCTTCTAATTTTGAGGTGTGTTGCATCAACAAATGTGGAGAGTGGTGACTCTGTAAGATAAACACTGGAACTTGAAGCACAAGGTTGGTGATTCAAATACACTAGCTACTCTGTGGGAGAGAGATGAGGTTTGATGCTCCCACAAAGCTTTACAGTGTCCAATAAATTTTGTGACTTTGCAGGGTCACTAGGAGTCAAAACAGATTATAAGACATTTAACAACAATATCAACATAAACAAATGAAGATCCCAAAAGCCATACTCCACCCACATCTTTAAGGTCAACTCTACCCCAGTCATCAACTCTAGTTGAGAAGGGAACTGTTCTCCAATCATATTTTGAACATCTTCCAACCTTTCAGCAATATATCAGACAATGTCCTCTTATTGTTGCTATACACATGGCATTCACTAGCCTCTTGTTTTTGGAAATACATTGTCAGGTCCTTCTTCACAAAATGCTTTAGTGTGGTTGATTCACTGAAATTTGTTCACCATATGTGATCCTACTGGTAGAAATACAAATGACAAAGCTCCTAATGTCACATCAGCACACTAGGTACCACAGTTAAGACAAATTGACAACTCATAAATTATATGTATACTAAGGTAGAGAAATCTAGAGAAGATCCAAATAATGAAACATTAACCTAACTTACTGTGCCTAACTCCTGATCTTATCATGTAGATAGGGAATGTAATTTGTTCATACAAGTATGTTGTCCATTTTATTTTCAGTTCTTTATATATTAAGGACAATAAATAGCAATTGAAACAGTGAAAAAAAAAATTAAGAACCAGAACTTACCTGAGGTCTTGAGAAGGTTCTGCTCTGATATGAGGTGTTTCTACTGAGTGTCTGAATACCGCTCCTTCTGTGCCTTGGGGAAATGAATATAGCAGTCAGTACCAGAGAGTGGGCAGATAGTTTGTGTCTATTTATATGAATAAATATTCATCTCAAAATGGGAAAATAGAAAAGAAGAGACTATTAAACAAAAAAGAAAACATGGCTGAAGAAAACAGTCAGGGACCAATGGAGATTAATTTAAATATGATATGTTGACACAGTTGATGCAACAATGGACTCAAACATAGCAACAGTTGTGAAAATGGCTCAGGACTGGTTATTGTTCTGTTCTAATGTACAAAATGTTGTTACGAGTTGGAACCGACTCAACAGCAGTGAAAAACAACACAATATATAAAATGTTTTTAAAGTTATATTATTTATATAAGTTTACATTCTGACAGTCCTGGTGTGGCACTGTGGGCTAATGTGTCTGACTGCAAAGTCATTTGAACTGCAAGGTCGGTGGTTCAACCTCACCAGCTGCTCTTTGGAAACCCTATGTTGTTCTTGTTGTTAGATGCCATCAAGTCGGAACCGACTCATAGCGACCCCATGCACAGCAGAACAAAACAATCTCTGATCCCAGGCCAACCTCACTACCGCTGCCACACCTGAGTCCATCAATGATGCCACCTGGCCGATCCATCTCATTGGGGGTCTTCCTCTTTTTCTCTGACCCTCCATGTTACCAAGTATGATATCCTTCTCCAGCAACTGCTCCCTCCTGGTTGGTGCATAAATTTGAATAATAGTGGTATTAACTGGGCTTCCCTGTAGGCGCATCGATATTATCCTATCCCTTACAGCATTGTACCTCATGACTGACCTGGATATGTTCTTTTTGGCAATGAATGCAACCCCATTCCTTTTCAATTTGTCATTCCCTGCATAGTAAACCATGTGGTTGTCAGATTCAAAATGACCAATACCAGTCCATTTCAGCTCACTAGTTAATGCCTAAGATATCGATGTTTATACATTCCATTTCATTTTTGACAACTTCCAATTTCCCCAGATTCATACTTCATACATTCCATGTTCTGATTTTCAATGGAAGTTTTCAGCTGCTTCTCTTCAGTTTGAGTTGGGCCCATCAGCAAATGAAGGTTCTGTGGGCTTTTCTCCCATGAGCTTAACTCCATTCACGTCATCATGGTCAACTGTACTTTGAGGAGGCATCTCTTCCCTAGTCGCATTTTGCATGCCTTCCAACCTGAGCAGCTCATTTTCCGGCACTGTGTCTGACAATGTGTCTCTGCTATTCATAAGGTTTTCAGTGACTAAGGATTTGGAAGTAGTTCGTCACTCTTTCTACCTAGTCTGTCTTTGTCTGGAAGCTGATCTTAAACCTGTCCACCATGGGTGTCCTTGCTGGTTATTTAAAATACTGGTTGCATAGCCCTCAGAATCACAGCAACTCAAGCCACCACAGCACAACAAACAGACTAGTGGTGGAAACCCTATCCAGGGTCGTAATTGACTTAACAACAACAACACATTCTGACAGAAGTTTCACCTTCTAATCAAAGAACAAAGACCTATACTCTTATTGTTGTTAGGAGACACAGAGTAGGTTCTCATTTATGGCAACCCTATGCACAACAGAAGGAAACACTATCTGGTCCTGCACCATCCTCACAATAGGTCCATCTGATTATATTGCTGCTGCCACAGTGCAGACCTGTCTCATTGTGGTTCTTCCTCTTTTTCAGTGACCTTTCAATTTACCAAGAATGATGTCCTTTTTCAGGGACTGGTCCCTTCTGATGACATGTCCAAAGTATGAGAGACAAACTCCAGCCATTCTGGCTTCTGAGAAACATTCTGGCCGCATTTTTTTTAAAGACAAATTTGCTTGCTCTTTTCACAGTCCATTGTACTTTTAATATTCTTCTCCAACACCATAATTAAAATGCATCCATTCTTCTACAGTCTTCCTTATCACTGTCCAACTTTCACATGCATATGAGGTGATTGAAAATACCATGGCCTAGTTCAGGCACATCTTAGTCCTCACACTGATATCTTTGTGTTTGAATACTTTAAAGAGGTCTTGTATGGCACATTTGCCTAATGCAATCCATCATTTGATTTCTTGACCGTTGTTTCCATGAGTGTTGATGTGGATCCACGCAAACTGAAGTCTGACATCAGTTTTTTATAGGTCCAGTTGTGAGCATTTTTGTTTTATTTACACTGAGATGCATTCCATACTGAAGGCTATAGTCTTTGATTTTCATCAGTAAGTAGTTTAAATTCTCATTGATTCCAGCAAGCAAGATTGTAAAATCTGCAGATTGTTAATGATACGTCCTCCAGTCATGGTGCTACGTTCTTCTTCATATTATACAGCTTCATGGTTTGTTTGTTTTTTTACTTAGCATACAGATTGACTAAGTATGGTGAAAGGATACAACCTTGATGCACACCTTTCCAAATTTTAAACCATCCAGTATCCACTTGTTTTCTTCTAAGGGCTGACTCTTGGTCTATACAGGTTCTTCTTGAGCAAAATTAAGTCTTCTGGAATACTCATTGTTTGCAATGCTGTCCATAATTTTTCATGATCCACAAAATCAAAAGCCTTTGCATAGTCGATAAATCACAGGTAAGCATCTTTCTGGTATTTTCTGCTTTCAGTCAAAATCTATTTGATGTCACCACAGTGCTATGTATTCTTCTGAATCTGCCTTGAATTTCTGGAAGTTCCTGGTTAATATACTATTGCAATCATTTTTAATTATCTTCAGAAAAATTTTACTTGCATGTAATATTAATGATACTGTTTGATGATGTCCACTGTCCATTGAACCATCTCTTTGGAATGTGCACAAATATATGTCTTTTCTAATCAGTTAGCTAGGTAGCTGTCATCCAAATTTCTTGGTATAGTTATGTAAGTACCTTTAGGGCTACAGTTTTTAGAAAGATTTCATTCCTTCAGTTCCTGGAGCCTTGTTTATCACCAATGCCCTCAGTGCTGCTTGGAATTCATCCTTCTGTACCATCAATTCTTGATCATATGCTGCTTCTTTAAATGATTGAACATTTACAATTTCTTTTTGGTATGTGGACTCTGTATATGCCTTCCATCTTCTTTTAACTATTTCTGCATCATTCAGTATTTTGCCAATGCTGTCAGTGTTAAGTGCTATTGAATCAGTTCCAATTCATAGTGATTCTGTATAGTGTTTCCTAGGAACAGCTGGTGGGCTTGTACAGCTAACACTGAGATTAGCAATTCAGTGCTTATTGTACAGCACCATGCCAGTACTCCATTTTGCTTATATAAGCCTTCAATATTGAAAAAACATACCCTTACACTGTCTTATTTCCCAGTTAAGTGAATTTAAGGAAAGGTAAGGTCACAAAATTCTGTTCTGATTTTTTATAATGAGTTAGAGGAAACTAATGAAAATATGGAGGGAAAATCCCAAGGCAGTATATTATTAATTATTTAAAGACATAATTCATAAGACATTTAAGTATTCTTCCACACATAATTCCCACTTCCGATCAAAGTACTGATCAAATACTGGAGAACATATGACATTATTTATTCCTCTGAAGTTAAGGTTGTATTGAAAACAATGAATGGATTTTATTTATTTCATGTAAGTAATTGGTTTCTATGGAGTCATGGTTACATGAAAGTGTCATGCACTTTTCCTCAGGCAGTTGAATGATATGTTGTCTAAGTATTCATTTAATGGTCCTATTTTATTTTCTTAATTCCCAGAATTTTTCCATAATTTAACTTAGCATTTACAGCATATTTCACTCTCATAGATCAAATGACAAAAAGGTTTAACTTTTTTTTTTCTTAAGGATAGGAAGACAAAGTTTTACTTTTTTTGTGTGTGTGATTTTACATACATGTTTTAGACATTTCCATTGGAATAACATTAATTCCTTTTAGCCTGATGCTCTTCTCAGGGTGAAAAAACTATCACTAGTCTCAAGGAGCTCTGGTAGCGTAGTGGTTACGAATTGGGCTGCGAACCACAAGGTCAGCAGTTTGAAACTACTAGCTGCTCCGCGGAAGAAAGATGAGACTTTCTGCTCCTGTAAAGACTTACAGCCTCGGAAACCCTGTACAGGGTCGCTATGAGTCGGAATCGACTCCACAGCACATAACCACCACTACCACCATCACTAGTCTCAGCCCTATTAGTGATCTCTCAAAATAAAAATATTTAAACTTACAAGATGAATCTGTTGTTCTTTAGTGTGAATAATCAGATAAAATTAGAAACTATGTTAATTCAATAAACAATGAAAAAACACCTTTAAGAAATTAGAGTTAACGATAAATATAACTGGTCACCTAGGGAAAGGTACTAGAATTACTAAAAAAAACTTCTTTATATAAAACAGCAATACCAACTTTGATCTTGAATCATGGAGGAAGAAAATTTTTCAGAGATTGTAATATGGCTTTATCTATATTATGAGCATCTGAGGGCAAATTTACAAGTTCTTCCTTGCAGTAAATTCAAGAGATTATAGATTTAAATGTATAAATTAAAATTATTGTCATTTGTTGACTTTTGCTGGACTTTAGTAGACTATATATACTCCTAAGGAGCTCTGGTAGTGTAGTGGTTACAAGTTGGGCTGCCAACCTCAAGGTCAGCAGTTCGAAATTCCATGGGAGAAAGATGAGGTTTTCTGCTCCCGTAAAGGTTTACAGCCTCGGAAACCCTGTGCAGGATCACTATGAGTCAGAACCGACTCCACGGTATTACCAATAACAGCAACATATACACTCCTGGTATAGCACTATGGGAAAAGCACTGGACTGTGAGCCACAAGGTCTTTAGTTCAAATCCACCAGCCATTCCGCAGAAACTCTATAGAGGGTCACTATGAGTCAGAACTAATTCAACTGCACTTAATAACAACATTTAGATAGATAGATAGATAGATAAATAGATAGATAGATAGATAGATAGAAGTATGTCGTGAAGATCCTTGGAAAACCTATACAAGATTTCTATGAGTTAGAACTGACTCAATGACACTTAA